TTACAAAAAATAACCTTGTAATTTACTATAGTGTAAGTAACGTACCAAAGGCTCTTTTTCAACACTTTGTAAATCCTTGCCTACATCATCCTCACCACTATCATCACTATTTTTCAATCTGAAACATATGATTATCAAAACCAAGTTAAAACCAGCTGTCTTTGGGAGACGTAAGAGTTATAGAATAAGAATGTTATAGATTGATGACAGAGTAAGGTTAGAGGTTAAGAGTCGAGCTGTCTTAAAAAAACTATTCTGAGACAAGACAGTTTTGAAAGCATAGTTGGCCAAATGAAAACAGCATGCACAGGCAGTTTGACACCCTAACCTCAACATAGCGTGCCGCACTATTCTGTTTTAAGGATAATAATAAAACATTTTCGTAAGTTGATGAAACTTAATAAAAAAAAGGCAGTAAATAATCAGAATCAAAACTGTTGCAATTAATTGATTAGTATGAGCTCACGCACAAAGACAACAACACCGTACTTACGCGTCAAACTTGTTCGACATATTTGTAGAGCTGGTGAGTAAAGTTTAAATAAAATGGGCTCTATACAATCGACAGGACTGGTTTCTAAACTTAAAGTTTTCTTCACGTAAAACTACACAACGTTCAAAAACCGCAACAATACCACAACTTTCCGACAACAACTACACCACCATCCGTGTTCACTGGTGTGGTGTGTCCGCTTGTCTCCCGTCCGCCCGTCTCACTGTCTGTTGTTTTCTGCTGTCTGCCGTCTGTTGCTGTTTCATTTTTTTTTTTTTTGTCTAGTTGATTTATGTCTTGCAATGGATTCGACGCAAACCGGGCATTAATTTACTTTTTGGAGAGATGGAGGATGCTCATGCTCGACATTTGCTTTTGCATAGTCAGCATTTGTCCTGGGGTGTGCAGGCTCTCGCTCATCTAGCTGCTGCATCATTGAAGAGAGATGTGTATGGCGTAGTGCAGAAGGACCTTCCAGCAATCATTAAAACACTTGTGCAACTCAAGAGCGCCTTAGAACGATTACCATTGCATTCTCACAAGCGTACCATGCGCCCAGGGACATTAGAAATTCGAATGAAAGCTGCTCTTACATCTGCCGTCAAAAGAAGTTTGTATATTCTGTGTAATGCATTTGGCCCATATTTGTCTGACTTGCCCTTATCAGAGGATCTCAGACAAGTTTTAGGGAACTATATTTTGTACAAGGAAGGGTAGATTTAAATATTAGAAAGAGAAAGTTTTCAAATTACTAGTAAATGGAACAAATTTTAAAAACTATTTGCTTATGCGTTTCAGTGAGAATTTTTTTTATTTTACCTTAATTTTAGCTACTTAATTTGGATGTAAATCTCAATTGTCATATTTTGAATGTAATTAGTGGTTTGTTTTTTTCAAGTAAATGCATACTATTTTCCAGTATTTTGTGATGGATAAGTTAATAAAGCTTGACACTGAACACAATTCAAGTTAAAGAATTTATTAGATACCTCTCATCCAACAATTTAACAATAAAGATGTGGGCAAGTAAGTTTTGAAGTTGCTTGAGAAAACATAACAGTGAACTATGACAGTCATCCTATACAAGGAAAATCAAGCACATTCATTTGTGAGCAGCTTCATAGCGATGATAATGTTTGAAGGTGACAATATTTGAATTGACAGAAGATCAAGATTGAGCACAGGGTAAGTCTTGTCTTGATCACGGAACTAAACAGAATTTCCCAACAGCAGATTGCAGATTGTTGGTCACAATGTATTAAGTACTTGCTATGGCATAGCAAATATGAACAGGCACTTGTTCTTCATTCCAAAAATAGACAAAGAAAACAAAAACAGCTCCAAAATAAAAACTTATGATAGGGATGTGTTGAATGGGTAGCCAGCTACCTTGTGAAGTGTGTATTGCGGAAACTAGAATTGTCCCTGAAAGTCATAAAATATGAATTAGAGTAAAAAGTTTCAAGCTGAATTTTCCTAGTGTTTTTTTGAACTTACTTTAAACTGTCATTATGAGTTTTGTACTCCAAAATGGTATTTGGCGGCAGATTCAATACTCTTCTCAATGTATCACGGATTCTTGCAGTAGTAGCTTGGTCTGATGCAGTCCTATTCCATACTGACAAAATGTCCTCCTGTACAGAAAAAATGTTTCTGATGTAAAATTCTTTAACAGTATTACCTGAAGTAAGTAAATGAACTGAAACTTGTAGGCTAGAGAGCTATACCTGAAATCGGATAGAAACAACAGCTCCACAAATTTCTTCGCCAACCATAAATTGTTCACCTAACATAGCTAACACAAGGTTCTCCCAGCAGCGTGATGCCAGACCTTTACGAAGCCGGACAATCCACTTTCCACCTCTTTGGTTGGCTTCATCCTTTAAACAAAATGGTAATGAAGTGTTTAAGTTAATAAAGATTTCAGTTCTATATTGAATTATATAGTGAAATCATCAATTATATACCTCCCACATTGGTTTGATGCCAACTTTAAATAGATGGAAATCACTATGGCTTTGGAGTTCTGAGGGGTGCACTAAATGACTGTATAGGGCCCAAAATTGCTCAACTGATCCAAAGCGCCCAATGAGTTTTAGATTTTGATCATAACTCTGAAGAGATGCCTGTTTGCCTGGAGATCTCCGACTAAACCACAGCCAGTATGCACATTGCAACTTGTGGTCTGAGTCTGGAATGACTAGAGGTGGCTAAAGAGAAAAGGTATAT